ATTGTCCATAGTGAGTTCGTTGCTTACTGCCCCATTAGGGAACAAACGGCCGACTTCACCATAACAGGTAGAAGTAGCAGCGCAGTATGGGTGTGTAACGTTACCATCACGAACCCCATCAGCACAAGGGATCCGGAGGCACAGAAATGCAGGGGATGGGCGGCACGAGAGCAGGCCGACAAAAAGGTTAAACATTATGCCAATCGACCAGAGACGGTGGGCTTCTTTCCACTAGCCGTAGAGACCTACGGCTGCCTATGCACCGAGGTTCCAGTCTTCTTGAAGCTTCTAGCAGACACGGCGGCTCGGCGCTACTTGAACGCAGACTCTAAATCCTTCCAAGCCGCTAAGTTTCTGCATCAGTTCAGGCAGCGGTGGTCGGTCGCCCTACAGCGAGCCCAATCCGTAGGTTACCTGCTCAAGTTAGGCGAGGCGGCAGCTGCCAAGAACCCGCCTATGGGGGGGATAAGGCAAGAGTTGTATTTAGGAGACTACTTTGTTGTTATTGAGCCTCTTCTTGAGCTCTAGAGGACTTAGCTGGTGTGTTAATGTAGGTTTCTTTGCATGCTAGTACTTGCCTGTTCTACCTTGCATGTTTGTACCTTCCTGGCTTATCAATCTAGGGAACATTAGAGAGTGACTGAGAGAGAGTGAGAGTGTGAGAAAGTGAGAGAACGAGAGATTGAGAGAGTGAGAGAGAGAGAGATAGGGAGAGAGGGAGATATGGAGAGAGGGAGAGAGGGAGAGAGGGGGAGAGAGTGAGAGAGTGAGAGAGAGTGAGGGAGAAAGAGAGTGTGAGAGAGTGTGAGAGTGTGAGAGTGAGAGAGTGAGAGACTGAGAGACTGAGTGAGAGAGAGAGTGTGAGAGAGAGAGAGAGACTGAGAGAGATAGTGAAAGAGAGTGAGTGTCATCATGTGAGAGTGTGAGAGTGAGAGGGTGAGAGAGTGAGAGAGTGAAAGAGAGAGTGAGTGAGAGAGTGAGAGAGTGCGTGAGAGAGAGAGTGAGTGAGATAGAGTGAGATTGTGAGAGAGTTAGAGTGTGAGAAAGTGAGAGAGTGAAAGATTGAGAGAGTGAGAAAAGGAGAGAGAGAGGAGAGAGAGAGAGAGAGAGAGAGAACGGGAGAGAGAGTGTATGTGAGAGTGTGAGAGTGAGAGAGTGAGAGAGATAGAGAGAGAGTGAGAGAGAGAGAGTGTATGTGTGAGAGAGAGAGAGATGGAGAGAGTGAGAGAGTGAGAACAAAAGAGAGAGAGAGGAAGAGAGGGAGAGAGGGAGAGGGAGAGAGAGAGTGAGAGAGTGATAGATGTCAGAGGTCCACTGGTGATCCCCAATTGATCCTAGGGAAGGGTTACAGGCACGTTGGCCTGGGGGGTTATGGGCGCACTCACCCGCTACACAAACAAGCCTTTTTATCCCAGTGGTTAGTGGCTGGGATTCTGACATGGTATCAGAGCGAAGGTCTCGGGTTCGAATCCCGGTGTGTGCACCTCGGGCATCCCAGTGCGGGGGGGTGTCAGAGGTCCACTGGTGATCCCCGATTGATCCTAGGGAAGGGTTACAGGCACGTTGGCTTGGGGGGTTATGGGCGCACTCACCCGCTACACAAACAAGCCCTTTTATCCCAGTGGTTAGTGGCTGGGATTCTGACAATAGAGAGTGTGAGATAGAGAGAGTAAGAGAGTGTGAGAGAGTGAGAGAGTAAAAGAGTGAGAAAGTAAGAGAGTGAGAAAGTTAGAGTGAGAGAGTGAGAGAGTGAGAGAGAAAGAGTAAGAGAGAAAAAATGAGAGAGTGAGAGTGTGAGAGTGAGAGAGTATAAGAGAGATAGAGAGAGTGAGAGAGAAAAAGAGAGTGTATGAGAGTGAGAGAGAGAGAGAGAGTGCGAGAGAGATTGAGAGAGAGAGAGAGAGAGAGAGAGAAAGAGAGAGAGAGAGAGAGAGAGCGAGAGAGAGAGAGAGAGAAATAAAGAGAGCGTATTCCGTGCTTTTGCTGCGCATCGTAGTGCTTATCCTGGTTACGGCTGCATCTGCTCGCATGCCTCGCGCCTACCGCTCATATGCCTCGCGGCAGTTGCTGCTTGGACAGTTGCTGATTGTCAGCCTACTTGCGCCGGTTTAGTTGTTGTCGGTTAACTTGCGTTTTTTGCTATAGGCAGTCAGGGGGTGTGTTGAACAATATATTTATATTGTTTGTTGTTGACTGCATGTAAAAATATTTACTGTAGTTATTTGTGTTTGTGTTTGGTGGTGCACCACATTGTGTTTGCATATTTGTACTCTCTACTCTCTAGTAAACATCCTCTTTTTGCCTTGGTATAGAAACAAAGCCTGACAGTCGGTGTTACCTATGAAGAAAACGCTGAAATTTCAGCGTTGGTACAAAAAAACAAAAGCAGGCAATTCCGTGTGTGGCTTTATGATCATTCTGATTATGCAAAGGTACAAAGTCAAAGTGTACCTTGCATGGTTTGGGTTGGGAGTGGTGAGAGAAGCAGGTGAGCTATGCGGAGGGGCCAGAGTAGCGGGAGGGCTGGGGGGAAGGGCAAGGCAGAGAGGGGGGGGGGGGGGGGGGGGGGGGGGGGGGGGGGGGGGAAACAGGGTCGACTGGGCTGGAGAAGAGCCGGGAGGAACTGGCGGTGGGTCCGCGCGGAGACAATTTCAGTACGGACGTCATCCGCGCAGTGGGTTTCGAGTCTGTTTGACTGTGCAGTGTGTACCCCCGATACAAGGCTAAGTGATCAGCCTACAAAAGGTTAAAAAACACCCAAGGTACAAAAAGAAAAGCTAAAAATTCAGCCAAGGTACATACAAATCAAATCTTTCAAATCAGCCTAGGGTAAAAAAAAAAAAAAAAAAACTTATTTAACGCTAAATCGGCGTAAAAAGGCTGATATCTAGTTCCTTGACCCTCACCTCTCCCAGCCCCACTCGCACTTTCTCTCTCCTCACGGCCAAGTCCCATTTCTCCCATATCACTCGTCATTTCCCTTGCATCGCCAAGTCTCACTCCCCACAATTCCCTCGCCACTCCCAGCCCTATTTCTCCCAAATTAGGGTGCGTACCATTTTACCTTGATTTCAACAGGTCGAAAAAAACTCACCCTGACAGACAAGGTGATGTTCAAGGCACCCTGATTCTTAAGGGTGCCCTGAAACCAATTTAAGACCCTCGTCACTTCCGTTGCATCGTTGTTCTGTTAGGGTACTGGTTAAGTTCGTGTCCGTAAGGATGACATGTCAACAATGGGCGTGTCAACCCGAAACGCGCTCGAATTGGAGTGTCAAATACTCTAGCTGAAGTGTCAAGTCGAAGCGTATATACGAACATCAGCGACAAGCTTTCAGTTTGTCATTGGTTAGAGAGTTTGTCATTCCTTTATCTCCTAGGCAGCGAATGATTCAAAAGACAGAACTAGGAGGTGGTGTCTGCTGATTGGGCAGAATCTGGTCGTGAGATAGGCAGCTGCAACAATCTCATCTCGTTTGTAGGTATGACTGAGCAAATTTCAAAAGTGTCTCACGATTTTTATTGGCTGGCAACCTGCAATTTCTTGACACTTTGCCAACATTGTTGGCTGAGATGGCGTTCCCACGGTTTGGACGACAAGTGAGTTTGGATACGCGACTCGTGATTTGGCTTGATGGTGTCCAGAGTGGGGTACTGCCCCACTCTGGACACCGAGGCCATGCGAGCCCTAACGACCGTTTGACCGAATTGACTGGCGCAGCCCAGGTCGCAACCAATAAATTCTCGCTTCTGACATTGAACTGGAACCAACTTCTCTGGTACGAACTCTGACTCCCGTGAGCTGGGTCCTGACCCATTGTGGTAGGCGTCGTGGGCCGTCAGATCTGTTCGCACACGGTCGTGGATGCTTTCGTGCACGACCGAAGTTGATGGCGTTGTTTGTGTCCAAACCCGAGCCGCATGTTGACCAATTTCTCGAAATTTGCAAAATTGCGAGTCGCGTATCCAAACTCACTTGTCGTCCGAACCGTGGGAACGCCCCTGAGTGTCAAAATGAAAAATTGACATTGCCAAATTTGACATGTCATCCCTACGGACACGACCAAACACTGTAGCCAACCTTACAGCTAGCACAATTGGTGAGAAATAGGCATGATTTCGGTTGACCAGAGGTTCTGAGAGCCTCAAATAAACCCTTACTTAGGGCGCATTATGGGCACTGGTCAAACCCCTGGTCATCCGATGAATGACCAGAGGTTGGATAACCATAGCCCTCTGTTGAGCGATGCATCCCAAATCGGCTTATCGAGCAGTCGGTGTAAAGGGCGCGCAACCAGTAAAAAGAGAGCACATGCACGCCGTCAACAATCGCATAACAGTGCGCGCAACCAGTAAAAGCAGAGCAGGCACGTCGTCAAAAATCGCGCAACAGTGTGAATCCCCAGGACGAACAACATGGCCCATCGCAATTTGGACCAGAGGGTCGCTAACAGACGTAAGCGATCGGATGAGTTTTTTTTTTTTATATCATATACATTACAAGTATGTACAGACATCGGCAGTCGTAACTGAGCGATCGGATGAGTGATCGCGCAGCACTGTAGCACAGTCGTGATCGCTGGCCATAGGTGATGGTCGTATGACCAGAGGTTGGGCCTGACCAGAGGTTTGACCAGTGCCCAGAATGTACCGTTAGTGTCTCGATATTTGTTTAATTTGCGCACACTGTAAGTTGATTCATAACACAACTCTAACGAGACTTCCGCCAAAATCTCATTTCCCGTGGGCGGGGTTTCGCGTCACAAGCCCACTTCCCGCGAACAGCTAGTGAGTCGCTACGTAATAGTGGGCGGACATTAGTTTAGTCCGCGATTTGCGCTGTTCTTTAGGCGGTTCGTCGCCGTCTCAAGCCGCAGACGCGAAATATGTAGCGACGTTTATGTATGCGAACATTGCGGCGACAGATAAAGTTCAGGGATTGTTTTACACGTGAATTAACGCCCGACTTCTTCAGCACAGGCTCCATTGCACTCGCCTAGATGGACGTGCAGAGCGGAACGAGCGGTGAAGCGCGGGTGCGGTACGGAGTGGTGGGGAGCGGCATGATGGGCGTGGAGCACATCCACAACCTCGCCGCCATGGCGGCCCGCCCCGACCTCACGGGCGGCGTGGCCGTGCAGCTCGTGGCTCTCGCCGACCCCCACCCGCCCTCGCAGGCCGCCGGACTCGCCGCCGCTGCCCGCGCCGGCTGGACCGACGTGCAGGTGCGCGCTGGGGGAGGGGGGGGGGGGGAAGGTGGAGAGAGTGATTAGCGCGGTGACGGGCACGAATGCGCGTGAAGGTGGCCATGGTCGGTGCTGCGAGGAGATGCCAGTGGCGCCATGGCGTGGGCGGTGTGTGCAGCGCAGGTCGCAGTGAGCGCTCCTCCATCTCCTCATGCCCGCCCCTCTCACCCTCCCCTGCGCGCCCTCGCAGGTGTTTCCCGACGTGCACAGCCTGCTGGCGAGCGGCGCATGCGAGTGCGACGTGCTGGTGGTGGCGGCGCCCAACATGACGCACGCCGCGCTGCTAAGAGCCATCCTGCGCCACCCGCGCCGCGTGCACGTGCTGGTGGAGAAGCCCCTCGCCACGTCCGTGCGCGGCTGCGACCTCGTGCGTGCATTGGGCGGGGGAGAGGGGAACGAGTGCTGTGGGGGAGGTGAACAGAGTGGATGTTGATTGCACGCTGCCATGCCCGCCCTTCCTGCCCAACCACCCGTCCCCTCCCCGCCTCTCACTACGTTGCTCCCGCACATGCCGTGCTGTCTGCCCACTTGCCCTCCTGCTCGCCTGTCCGCCTGTCTGCCTGCCCGCCTGCTCCACTGCCTGCCCACTGGCGCGCAGGTGTTGGCCCTGGCAGGGGCGAGGGAGCGGGCAGCAGCGGGGGTGGTGCAGGTGGGGCTGGAGTACCGCTTCATGCCGCCCGTCGCCGCGCTGCTAGAGGAGGTGCGGGGGGGCGCCGTGGGGCGAGTGCACATGGTGGCCATCCGCGAGCACCGCTTCCCCTTCCTCCACAAGGCAAGGCACGCCCTCCCTGCCCACGCCCTCCCAAGGCACGCCCTCCCAAGGCACGCCCTCCCAAGGCACGCCCTCCCTGCGCTCGCCTCCCTGCGCTCGCCTCCTTGCCATGCCGTGCCTTTCTTTGCCATGCCACTGTCCATGGACCATCTCTGTCGCTCTCACGGCGCTTCATCACTGCTGTGCGGCGCCGTGCATCTCATGGCAGGTGGGCGCGTGGAACCGGTTGAGCGCCAACAGCGGGGGCACGCTGGTGGAGAAGTGCTGCCACTTCTTCGACCTCTTCAACCTCATCCTCGCCGACTCCCCCACACGCGTCATGGCATCGGGTGGGCAGAGCGTCAACCACCTCTCTGAGGAGTACCACGGCAAGGTGGGCGGCACGGTGGGCGGCATGTAGCCATGGCACATCCGCCCTGGTGACTTTTGAGTCGACCCAAAAGTCGCTCCATGCACTGCTTGCTTCCCTCATGCCGCCTGCCCAGCTGCGCATCTCCCATACCTACATGTTCCCCACGTGCTGCGCCTTGGCATGGCATGGCGTGGCTTGTTTGGCATCACATGGCATGGCATGGCATGGCATGGCATGGCATGGCGTGGCGTGGCATGGCATGGCATGGCATGGCATGGCATGGCATGGCATGGCGTGGCATGGCATGGCATGGCATGGCATGGCATGGCATGGCATGGCATGGCGTGGCATGGCGTCATGGCAGGTGTCGGACATCTTGGACAACGCTTACGTGATCGTGGAGTATCAGGGGGGCGGCAGGGCTTGTCTCGACCTCTGCATGTTCGCCGAGGGGTCGCGCAATGAGCAGGAGATATGCGTGGTGGGGGACAGGGGCAAGGTGAGACATGCGTGGTGGGGGACAGGGGCAAGGTGAGATATGCGTGGCGGGGGCAGGGGCAAGGTGGGGGCCAATGCCATGGGTGCAGCCATGTGTGCAGCCATGGGTGCAGCCTTGGGGTATGTGCATGTTGGTTATACTCGTGCCTGAGCCCGGCCGAGCATTCTACTGCTGCCACATGTTTGGTCCTTTCACATGCCTCACCACGTGTTGCCCTGCTTGCTCGCATGATGTATGGCGCGGTGGGTGCATGGCGCGGTGGGTGCATGCATGGCATGTGCGTGGGGGTGCAGGTGGAGGCGCTGGTCCCCGAAGGCATTGTGCGGGTGGGCAGGCGTGAAGGGGGCAGGCAGGGTGTGGTGACTCGCACGTGCAGCGATGGGCGCATTCAGTGAGCCCACTGCCCACTGCCCTTGCATGTTCCATGCTGTACGCACAGCACACCCCATCACACACTCACCATCTGGAGGCTATGCGTACACCCACATGCTCACACCCCACATGCTCACACCCCACGGTCTGTTTCTCCTTGAACTCGCCTTCCTGCACCACCAGCAGCAGCACCAGCAGCAGCAGCAACAGCAGCGCCACCAGCACTCAGTTCCCTCCACGCATGCCCCCAACCCCCCGCGCCCCCCTGGGCCCGGCAGGTACGAGGGGCTGCACCACGGGGCGAGCTTTATCGAGCACCTCGAGTTCCTGCGCGCCGTCACACAGGGGGGGGAGGGGGCGTCGCAGCAGCTGGTGGGGCTGGAGGAGGGGCGCCTGGCCGTGGCCATGGGCGTGGCGGCGCATGTGTCCATCGACACGGGTCGCCCCGTGCTGCTGGCTGATGTGCTCTCCCAGGCCGCCGTGTGGTTGCCGGGTGTGGTAGGGGAGGCAGAGGCCCTCGCCAGCGAGGTGCCAGGTTGAGTAATATTGCTTGAAGCGTGAGAGTGGAAGGAATATCGCAAACAAATGCATTTGTCAGCTTTTACTATACCGTATGTGACAATAGTTACCCCCGTACTGTACATATATTGAGGTTTATTGATACCCGTCATCGCCTGGATAGAAGATATATGTGTCTTATAAATACTGCTTTGGAAAACGCCTCCGTATCTTGTATGGTAATCGGAACCTATAGTGCATAGTTGCTTATGTTGGGCTGTTGCTGTTGATTTCCGCGCGCGTATGACGAGCCATCGAGACTCATTGGTGTGGCGTCGTTGTTGTTGTTTGATTCTACAGGTCCCGCTTGCTGGTGCTGCTCGTAGAAGGACATAAAGGAGAAGAATTTCTCCATCATACTTGGGTCGAAGCCTGAAGCTTGGTTCGCGGGAGTTTCGGTAGACCCCGCTGCTGGTCTTGTTGCCGGGTTCTCCTCCGTTTGCAGGCCAGAGGCAGGCGGTGGTGTAGGGGTAGTTCCGTGGGAGCCGTTAGAAGAGCTCCTTTCTTTCTGGGTTGCCATGTCTTCTGATGTTGTAGATGACTTGATAGTAGTTGAATTCCCCCTGTTAGCTCTCATACCATGTTGGGCTGAGAAAAGCCCAGGAATAATGTAATAGCGGAAGCTTAATGAAGGATTGTGAACCACCTTGCGCTAGTGTGTGAGGGCAAAGTAAGTTAATTAAAGCAAAGAGGTACAAGATGATATAGGAATACAAGGAATATGAAAGGGTACAGCTATACCGTAATCGCCCGGATATAAGACAGTGTTGAATAGTAGACAGGGGTTGTCTACTATACGGGTGTCTCTTATAAACAGGCTAGCCTCATTATAAGACACCTATTTGTGTGTACGAGATAAGACATATATGTCTTATAATCGAAACTTCAATATATTATAGCGAAAGTTGAAATACCGCGTACATTTTTACCCTTGCGAAGCGCGAATTCTGCCACGTGCTGACTCAGGCACTAACAAAATTGCCTCTGCAAGTTTTCTCCATGACGTGGTGTCGCGGGCAGTGGTTGCCAAAGTGGCCGAAGTGGTTGCAACATCCATGCTCATTATGAGAAACTCTTTTCAGGATGTGTGAACACATTTCTAAGTAGTTTAAAAAGTTTCCATTTATAAGACTTATAAGACACTCTAAACCATCCCAAATACAAGATAACCCAAGCATTTTTGCCCGTGTACGAGATAAGACATATATGTCTTATATCCGGGCAATGACGGTAACTGTTTTATTGTTGCTGTTGCGGTTCGATACAGTGACGACTCGGGCAACTGCTCTGTAACGAGTCAGTTGTGTGTCCTTGCTGTCGCACTGTACTGGTCAAGTTCAAGGTCGCTGACCTTTGACTTTCGCGTAACCTCCAGCAGTTACTTCAACCTCCGAGGGTTGACTCGCTGGTGCTTCGATATGCTTTGCTTCGCTTGTGACTTGGTGTTTCGCCACGACAGAAGCGCTTTAAATCAATTGTTTCCAACAGCTTAGCGGTACTGTATGGCCCCGGATATAACGCAGACCTATTAAAAGCGCATGCACTTCTTGAGCAATGCGCTTGTTACGATAAGGAATTGTTAAATAACATTCATACAGTAACGAACCTGTCAGAATCCCAGCCACTAACCACTGGGATAAAAGGGCTTGTTTGTGTAGCGGGTGAGTGCGCCCATAACCCCCCAGGCCGACATGCCTGTAACCCTTCCCTAGGATCAATTGGGGATCTCCAGTGGACCTCTGACACCCCCCCACTCTGGGATACTCGAGGTGCACACATCGGGATTCGAACCCGAAACCTTCGCTCTGAGACATGTCAGAATCCCAGCCACTAACCACTGGGATAAAATGGCTTGTTTTGTGTAGCGGGTGAATGCTCCCATAACCCCCTAGGGCGACATGCCTATAACCCTTCCCTAGGATCAATCGGGGATCTCCAGTGGACCTCTGACAGAACCCTTATCGCGAAGATGACTGCAGCGAGGACGAAGACCGAGCGAAATAAACAGTTATCGAAGACGGTTGAAAGCAGGAAGAATTCGAAGTGCAAGCGCGGGAAAATGATTCAAACAGTTTCCGTAGCGCGTACCGTTACCAAAGCGCACGTTGATTATCCCTAAGGGGAATGTACCCCCTCAGAGTACATGGCTAGCTATGATTCTTCATATTCCACTGTATTCCTATATAAACCATTATACCGCATTGTATTAATTACTTCTGTCGATATTCAAATTTCCTTCTTCTAACAGGGTCCGTACCCAACATTACCAGCAGGGCCTCATAAGTTGGCGAAGAAAGGCTCACCAGGGGTAAAAAGGCTGAGTTTTCAGTGTCGGGAAGAAAGTGGGGCTGATTTGTCCGTGGTTTTTTTTTTTTTTTTTTTTTTTTTTGGAAGGGCTGATTTTTCAGCATTACTTTCATTGTATGGGCTGATATTTCATAGTTTTTTTAGAGGTGTACACTGACTGATCAGCGCTGTAACGGGGTGTGGGCTGAAATCCCACTAGTGGAGATTCGTGTAGTGGCGAGAGTTTCGGATGTCTAGGTTCGCCCGTTCCACCGTCACACAGTCAATCACACTGAATTTGCCAAATAGAGTGCCGTGCCCAAGGTCTTGCTACCATTTCAGGATGACTGATGCATTTTTCTTGTCTGACGTATCATATATCTTACCAAAACTTGCCTGGCCAATCAAATGGCACGAATGTACAATCTAGTTTCTGGTTTCTAGATGCAAGTATTTCAGCTTGACTCATCACAGCGGATTTTGTGAAAACTATGAGGCAAGAATGATTGGATTGAAAGAAGCAAGGGTACAAATAGGAAACCCTAGTTGGGGTTGTACCCCATATTGGCTACCCCACTACAGCCTACAAACATATAGCACATTTATACTTTGACACACCCCCATAGGCAAAGTGGGGGAGAGCAAGGGGTCACAAGACCAGTCAAGCAAAGCAAAGAACAAGCTCAGGGTGGATCACAATGTCACCACACTCTCTGAGCACAAGCAAAGGCCACAAGGCCAGTTCACATGCAGATTTATATAGAAGAACACAAGTAGTACAGTGATCAAAGCCTAGCAAGTGCAAGCATGCAAGGACATATATATAGATCACAGTACAAACAAAGTCAAGAAGTAAGCAAGTGAGAGAACGTGGACACAAGGCCTAACGCAGTGCAGTGCCGCTGATGATCACTAGGCGGAAGCGCCTTGGTGAATATATCAGCAGTGTTGGCCTTCGAGTCCACGTACGCAAGGCGAAGCTGGCCACGCTGCTGCAGCTCTCGAGCCAGAAAGTAACGGAGAGCAATGTGCTTCGTTCTATGCTCCAGTCTGTGCTCCAGTCTGTGCTCCTGACACAAGGCAAGAGCTGCCTTGTTGTCACCGTACAGAACTGGAGGAGAACGAGGCCGCTCACCCAGGTCAGTCAGCAGGTAGGTGAGCCAGCGTAGCTCCTGTGCAGCCATGGCCGTGGCGTAGATATCAGCCTCACAACTGGAGCTGAGAACAGAAGAAGAGCGAGTGGAACGCCAAGAGACAGAACCAGAGCCAAGGCTGAAAGTGTAACCCTGTGACGACCGCTGCGTAGCCAGGTCGTCAACCCAAGAGGCGTCTGAGTGTCCAGTGAGGACAACCGAGCCCTGTCCTCCAAGCACCAGCCCCATGCCCGATGTACTGCACAAGTAGCGCAGTACCCTCTTAGCAGCCTCCCAGTGCTCTCGCCTGTGTCTCCCAGGTGCGACGTAGCGAGCTAGGATGCTAAGGGGGTACGCAAGGTCAGGTCGAGTGCAGGTCATCAGGTGCATGAGGCAGCCCACAAGCTCTGGGTACGGGCCACTCGGCTCTACAGACTCGTCCGAAGGTGGAGCTGAGAGCGAGTGGCTGGTAGACAGAGGAGTGGACTGAGGTGAGGAGAACTGGAAGCCGAAGCGCTGAAGGACCTGCTGCACCATGTGTGACTGAGTCAGGGTGATGGTGCGGCGTGCTCTGTCCTGGGTGATCTGCAAGCCAAGGTAACTGCGCGGCTCACCCAGGTCTGTGCACGTGTGTCTCTTCTACAGCTCCGACTTCACACGAGCGAGTGCCTTAGTGTCAGCAGTAGCAAAGACCAAGTCGTCGACGTACACGAGGATGTAGAACGACGGCAGCGACGTGTCTGTGCGCAGGAACAGTGAAGGGTCTGCAGTGGAGGGAGCAAACCCAAGAGCCGCAAGTGTCCTCCTCAGTGTGTCGTGCCACTCACGTGGCGCCTGGCGGAGACCGTAAACTGGCTGTCGGAGGCTCCTCCTAGGTACCAGGAGGGAAAGACCCAGTGAAGCCAGGAGGACGGCGCAGCCAGATCTCTTCGTGCAGGCTGCCCTGCAAGAAAGCCGTGCTGAAGTCAAGAGAGTGAAGCTCGTAGTCACGCTGAGCGGCAACGTGCAGCAGCACTCGAAGAGTGGTCATCTTCGGGGTAGGGGAGAAGGTCTGGAAGAAGTCAACTCCCTGTCGCTGACTGAAGCCTCGAGCAACGTAACGAGCCTTGAAGACAAGCGGAGAACCCGGCGGCCGCTTCACCCTGAAGATCCACATGCCATCGACGATGTTCGCCCTAGGAGGGGGAACTGCGTCGACGTAGGTGCCTGTGGACTTCCAGGATGCCATCTCTGCGTCCATGGCTGTCTGCCACTGAGAGGAGTAGGGACCGGAGACCACCTCTGTGTAAGAGCGGGGGGTAGGGATGTCAAGTGCATCCGGGTCTCCCTCAGGGGCAAGCAGCCAGGCCGTGAGATGAGGTACAGCAGCCGCAAGACAGTCAAAGTCTTCCTGCCTGTCCTCAAGGACGTCCGTGCTAAGAGCACACTCACCCCCGACGGACGGAGGACAGACAGACTCAGACTCAGCAACAAGACTGGCAGTGTAGTCGAGACGACAGGTAGCAGCAAAGTCAACCAGCTCAGCGACCAAGGCAGACGTAGCAGCAGACTCAAACGACGGGT